AAGTGTACAAGATCCAATGTGTTCCTAGCTCCTTTAGCCAGAGATGTGATGAAATGGCTTACTTTCCAATTAGTAAGCCTCTGTTACCAGAGGTTGTGGTGCAGAAAGTCATTTTTGATGAGTTTCTTCCCAAGTCACTTTTTACGAGTTTCTTCCCCTTTCACTTAAAGTTTCTGGATAAAAGGGGCAATTAATGGGATTCCAGCCTATCAAGGCATCAGAGATGCGCCTGTAACAGCCTTGTGACAGAGGCAAGAGCTTAGAACAAGAACTGGACTCAAATGAAGCCCACGCTGCTTTAATAATCCACCTGGTGATTTCATGACCAGCACAGCCTCCTCGTGTCACATCCATTCAACAAACACAGAATGTCATACGGCTGGGAAGGGTGCTCTGAGGATTAAAAATGAGTACCTTATCCCAACTGAGAAGTTGGCATAAATTTATGGAACTGCCTATTTACAATATCTGCTTTTCTGTAATGTATTCTACTTCAAGTAAGGTTAATGAAATGTTTTAAGTGAGTGAGTAAGACACACGTCTTCAAGGATGTGCATAGTCCAGGCCTTGTGTATGCATAACTAGAGTATCTCAGAAAGCGCTCCACAGGCAAGTCTGCTCAGCTCTTTCCCCGCCTGGTTTTAGGAAGGCAGCGAAGAAAAAATAGCACTCAAAGCAAAATGCACTGGCCATGGTCTGGTCCCATGATCTTTCTGCCACATGATAAAGCCCCTCCGAGAATCCCTGGGAGGTTCAAGTTAGGTGTAAACCGAATAAATATGAATTACCAAACATCCCCCCCCCCAAATAGAATGGATGATGCCCGCTTGTTAACCCAGTAGCCCAGGTACCTAGGACAGTGTTTGGTAGTTAGAAGGCTCTCGACCTCGTGCAGTAGTTGAAAGGCATATTCAGAACCTTTCCTTGTTTTCCAGATAGGAGTCAGTTTTCCCCTGAAGCCGGAAGATAACAGCTATCCAATTTCCTTCCAAGTCCAAGGATTTCCTGTTACGACCTTTGTTCAAAGCTGTACACATGACTGCGATTACTGCCACTATGTATTAAGCACCTTCCTTGTGCCGGGCAGTATTTTGAAATTAAATTCAGTCTAATTTACACAGCAGTCCTAGGAGGGAGGAGCCGCGTCTTTATAGATAAACTGAGGTGCAGGCTGAAGGCACTAAGAAAGTGCTGGAGGTGGGATTCACTCAGGCCTGCAGCTTCCAAACTAATGTTTCTACCACTTCGTAACACTATTTAGAATGGAAAATGATGCAGCTAAACCCATGATCCATCTTGAGACAGAAATCTCTCATGAGGGGTGCCTGGGTGGCCCAGTCTCTTGGTTTCAGCTCAGGTCATGATCTCCAGGTTATGAGACCAAGGCCGGTATCAGGCTCTGTGCTCAGCAGGTAGTCTGCTTGAGCTTCTTGCTCCCTCTCCCTCTGACCCCTCCAGCCCCTTCTCAAATAAATAAATCTTAAAAAAAAAGAAACAACTCTTGGGGCGCCTGGGTGGCTCGGTGGGTTGGGGCCTCTGCCTTCGGCTCGGGTCGGGGTCCCAGGGTCCTGGGGTCGAGCCCTGCATCGGGCTCTCTGCTCCGTGGGGAGCCTGCTTCCTCCTCTCTCTCTCTGCCTGCCTCTCTGCCTGCTTGTGATCTCCGTCTGTCAGATAAATAAATAAAATCTTTTAAAATAAAAAAAAAAAAAAAAAAAAAAAAGGAAACAACTCTCACAAAAACACACCACACACACAATCACCCAACCATAAGAAACAGTAGCACTGCCAGCAAGTAAATGCATTTTATTCTCATTTTATTGAGACTTTTTTCCACAGCTGCCATTTGGTTTATATAGCAAAATTTTTAAAAAGTAACTTTTCCCCCATTTTTGCTATTTTTATGAAAATCATTTTCTTCGATTGTAAAGCCCTGCCCCTCCCCCAAAGACATAGTAATAACTACCACATCGTGTGTATTTAGAGGAGAAAAAAGGAACAAAAACAGCTGTTAAACACTTGTGAAACAGGGATCAAAGTCGAAAGTGAAGACGTAGAAATGTAGGCCCACTGGAGGCACGAAGCCGCTGCGGGCCACCATCCACGCTGGCAGCCGGGCAAGCCACACACATGCCCTCGGGGGCTTCTCGTCCCACAGGCTCTACTCCCTTTCTCCTCTCGACTTTCTCTGCTGGCCATCGTCCTTCTCTCCAAATCCATCCAACAAAGGCAGCACAATCTTTAATACGTGTTCAACTTTGTAATGGAGACAATACTGTATCCAGAAGTTCAGTGATTCCCCTCCATTTAGTTCTGGACAGTAAAATAGCCAACAGGGTATGGATGGCTTCACTTTTGTGTCCACTCAGAACAGACTCATTAAATTACCAGATGCTTCAAAGATCCTGTTGTATAGACAGCACAAGAATTCCTTATAAAAAAGAAGTTGCAAAATGATAAAAATTTCTGCAGCAGCTTCGGCTCCTTGCACAGAGCCTCTGATGACACAGCTGGTTCTGAGGAGTCGTTCCTGGGACACTCGCAGCAGCTCGCCCAGGAGTCCCCTGTTCTGAGGGTTCTATTTAGACCACAGGGGGCCGAAGTCCAAGTTTACAAGATTCCCTGCTGACAAAATGTAGCCTGTCCATCAGTGGAATACTACTGAGTGCTCTAAAAGAATAAACTACCAACACAAGTTACAGCTCAGGGATGAAACTCAGAAATATGCTAAGGGGAAAAGCCAGCCAAAAGAGACCACAGTTTGTGGGATTCCACTGATATGATGCCCAGAAAAGGGAAATTTGTAGAGACAGAAAGATAAGTGGTTGCCCAGAGCTGGGAGCAGGGATTATCATGTAAACGGACACAAAGGATCTCATGGTGTGGGATGGAAAATGTCTAAAACTGAGTATGGTTATGGCCTTACCACTCAGAAAACTTACTAAAATAACTGAAATGTACAGTTGAAATGGGTGAATTTTATATGTAAAATATGCCTCAATAAAGTTGTTAAAAAAAAAAAAATCCCTGCTTCCCAAACCACACATCAAGCATTGAACATTTCTGAGGGCTCGATCAATAGGGCCATGTAACTTGATGCTAGGTTACATGGTGAAAACACTGTACTATTTTCTAGTAAATAACTTAGAGTTTCCCGATGCCCACAGGACCTGGTCAATCTCGCCACTCATTTCCCAAATGAATGCATTATCCCAGGGGAGAGGGGCTGGGGATACAGAGTCTTCCCCAACAGGAGGCCATGCCCAATTCTTGGTCGAATTTGTGAGGTGTCTGCTCTTACCTAAACGTTGCCTAAACCAAGAACCATTATTAACCTGTGATACTGGGACCCTTATTGAAGATCAACTCTCCTCTCCAATCACAGCAGGGTCGATTCCTGGGCACCCGAGGTTTCTACGTGGGGTCTGCAACAGCACTAACACAAGAGGATTCAGTCAACAGTTTCCTTCAGCTCCTTCGTACAACTTTCCTCTCTGACATCTAGAATTGCCAGAGTATTGTAATGACCTCCTTACTCCCTAGCTTCCCCAAAATCAAGACAAAACTGACGGTAGGACAATATACAATTAAAAAAATCCTGCTTAGTATTTCCCTAAAAACATTTTTTAAGCCATAGTGTTATAACCTTAATTAAAGAGACTCCAGCTGTTTTGACTTTGAAAACTGAAGTCCTGCCTCTCCCTTAACAATCTGTCTTGGTTTGACCACACGTGACCCCAAAAGTCCACAGCTGCGGTCAAAAATGCTTAGGGCCCCACAGCTGCAGGTGCTCAGGCCTGGGCTGTAGCTGTCAAGTTTTCTCCTGTGGTTCAAAGACCTGGAGAAGCTGAAAAGGCCTTTCCTTGACTTTTTTTTTTTTTTTTTCTCTTGAAGAGCAAGAGATAAAATAATTTTCATCTTGGAGTTTTAGAGTCCAACAATCACAAAACTCAGAAACCAGTCACTGAGAAACTCTACCCTGGGCCCAGCCAGAACTGGCACTTACAGAGAACACACACGCTATTGCTATACACATTCTCAAACTTCCAGCTTGCCAACAGAACAAGTTTAAACAGAGTGGTGGCTTAAATTCAACATCAAAATAAACACTTATAAATACCTGTCTCGCCCTTAAAGGGTCAAGGTGCCCAGAGGGCACGCACCCAGATTGGGTTCCTATGAGGATAGGTCGGAGACAGGGGCCCCCAGTCTTTCCCCTGCGAAGGTCCAACAAGACCTCCCCGCTTTTTCTAATGAGGAGCTGGCAAACTCTCTAGCTGAGCCTATGATCTGGGTAACAACTGTGCTCCTGCCTCACAACACACAAAGGATGGAGAAAACAGCTGGGCTACAGAAACTGTCTGCAGCGCAAGCCGACTGGCTAAGAAGAGAGTCCTGCTGCTAGCTGCTTCCTGCTCCTGGAGCCAGCAGACTCTCGGGTCTGAATGGGACTGGAAAGTCCAGCCCTCAGGTTCCGCTGCTCATCTGGCAGGAAGCTCTCTTACTCCAGACTAAATCAGCCTGGTGAAACCCCAGACTAATATCCAAAATGGAACCCCAAAGCAGACAGACAAGCCCTTTGCACTGCACCCAACATCTCAGCCGATCCTGGTCAGGAGAGCAAGCCTTCTTCAAGATGAAGAAACGGCTCCATCCGGATCCCTATAGGGCTCTCCAGACTGGGAGCCACACTAGAATCATTTGTATCTTTCTGACGGAGACGCCCACGCTCTAGAAAATGGCTCTTTCTGCAGTCTCAATATATTCCCTGCGCAACCTTTAGGACTCTGAGCTCGGACAAGCTAACAGGAGGAGGAAACGGAGCCCCTGGGACAGACAGACCTCTTTATTCCTGCACTTCCAAGGCTCTCTCCCCATTAAAGGTGATGAACCCAGTTGAAAGCTGAAGCTGTGCCTGGGTGGCTCAGCTGATTAAGCGTCTGCCTTCGGCTCAGGTCATGATCCCAGAGCTCTGGGATCGAGCCCCGCACTGGGCTCCCTACTCCGCGGAAAGCCTGCTTCTCCCTCTTCCACTCCCCTTGCTTGTGTTCCCTCTCTTGCTGTGTCTTTGTCAAATAAATAAATAAATAAATCTTTAAGAAAGCGGAAGGTGCAATAAACTAGTTTTTTTATTCACAGCCCTCCCTGGAAACGAGTTAAATGTTCCATTCTCTTGAGGTAGAGGCTTTGGGATTTAATGTGCACACCCGGCAATAGGAGCTCCTTAAGCTACTCTCCTCTGACATGTGTCCTAATGAGGAAGGCCATTCTTTAAACGATGCCATCTTATAGACTTCTAATGAGAAAAAGATGTGGGTTCATATTTTAAATCTGACATTAGCCTATGGCTATTCAAAAAGTCAACAAGGGAGTACCTAAGAAAAGGGAGAAATTCCTAAGCTTTCTAGACACCGGTCCTTTCCTTCCAACCTCTGTCCCATATCCACATACTGAATTTACGCAGACTTTATTTCATTACGTGGTCTTTTCCCGATAGCCTGACACAACACAGAAGCAGTCATACAGAAGCCACTGTCCCCCTCAGGCCTCTGCAAACCCCCATCCTAGGAGAACGGCCAGGACTCCACATGGTCTCCTTTAGACCTGACTCTGCCACAGACATTCTTATCACACAAAGGCACCTTCTGGTGCCCAGTTTAATCCCTTATGAGTATCAGCTGATTTACAGTCAGGAAAAACAAAAGGAATATACCCAAAGAGCTCATACCCAAAAAGCTGTAAAGCTGGGTATATGGCAACAGCAAAATTTTATAATTACTGAAACTGTCCCGGTGAGTCACATGGTCACATGGGTCAAGCAGGACTCACTCTCCCAGGCTTTTTTTTAGTTCTTTTGCATAAATCTGTAAGGTAGGGAGAAGCACCCAAATTATAAACTGAGCTTCTTGCTGGTGTCCTGAAAAATATGTTTACTTGGGAAAAATTACTGGGAATAATTTACTAAGGGAAGATACCAGGAGGACCAAGTCTTCATGGGGCTGGCAAAAAATTGCCAAAATACTCTTAAGACACAATTAATAGGATTCAGGGTTGGCTACTCCAGAGTAAAGCTGATGGCCAGCACAGCATGCTTCGCCTTCCCCTTTGGTAACAATCTCTTCTCAAAAACAGAACAGGGTTGGTATGGAAAGGAGACAGGGGACTAGATGCCATGAGGGATAAAGTGACAAACCCACCCTAGAGCTCTTTGACCTCACAAATAATGAATAATGACTTTGATGGTGGCTGTAAGCAGAGACTTAAGAACAGGCCAGCAGTGACAGAGTGACCCCAATGGCAATCACTGTCACAGCCCACCACTGCTGGTTTGTAACTTTCATGAACTGTCAGAAGAGTTACCAGAAACCAGTCCTTGGAGTCTGGGTTTTCTTGAACGGGGTTCCAGGCAAGGACACGCCGGCTTGGCAGGCCATGGTAATCTGCTTCTTCACAGGAAAGCCCTCGGGGTCAAGGGAGCTGGGCTGCGAACCCTAATTTGCAACACCTCCTTCTTCCACTTGTCCCTCTTCTCATCCAGCTTAGCAGACTCAGTAAGTAATTCTCCAGGCAATGAACATTGCCCTCACTCAGTAAGTGTACAGTAGGATGAGAAGGGCATTCTTAAACACCCAGATTTTCTTGGCCAGCTTATTTTGTTTAAACACACACAGCAGAACATTCCTGATGAAGGGGAAAAAAAGACTGCGATTTCCTTAACTCAAAAAGCTAATAATAATAATAATGATAGGAAACTGCTCCAAACCAAAGTCAGTAGAACAAAAGAGAAATACTCAGAGACTCAGAGGCTTGTAGAGTAAGACTGAGCACATTAGTTACTCCAGTCACAGTGTCAAGTTAAACCACTATCCCCCTTCCCCACTGTGCACCCCTCGCCCGCCCCACCCCCTTCGTCCGCTCTGCCTCTTTGTGCAGCGCTATCCCAAGGTGTGGGGACATACAAGTTCTCCTCAAAGCTTTCTGTCAGCTCAGTACTTCACTCCTGGAATAAATTCCTTGGCATCCGGGTTCAGATTACTTTTGCTCTGAAATAAGAACCAAGAGATAATAAATCCCACTTCAAAAGCTGTTTACTCCCTGCTTCATTATTACCAGCACCTTCCTCTCAGCCACCAAGAGGGAAAAAAGCTCCGGCTGCTATTGCCAGGCTGCTCTCAGTGGCTCCTGACGTACTAAGCCTTGACCAACCTCATTTTCTCCTTCCTGCTCTAGATTCCTGTTCACCTCATGATGCTTTCATTAGAGGCCTGAAAGTCTGACTCCAAAAATAATTTTTCAGTTCACTGAGTACCTTAATGCGATGAGAATCCGAATATTCCACCACAGTCCCTTTATTTCCCACCTCACTGTATTCTCTTTGGGTTATCTACCCTCTAGTGAATGTCCAAAACCTGAGCAAACCGCAGGGCACAGTCATCTGGAACGTGAGTTCTGTGAGAACTAAGTCACTCACAGAGTTCTGACTTTAAGTAAACACGAAAGGCAGGAAATCGGTTTATCCAGTCTTCTAATTTTAAGTGGAAGATGGCCTCTTAGGAGAATGTTCCTTCCAAAACCGCAGCATTCAAAACTATAAGTACAGATTTGAGGAACAGTAAAAGGAAAGAACAACAGCAAGTGATCATTTGAAACCAGACCTCTTCTGTGTTCAAATTCTTATCTCTGATCCCAATTCTACTTTGAAAGGCCCACTGCGGGAAATGAAAGCTGGTGACACTGCCCCATTGCAATGTGTGGTGCAAGGCATCTTCCATGCACCCTTTTATCAAAGCCCATGGGATGATGGGTGAAGAAACAGGCCAGAGACTTGCCCAAAGTAGGAGGGTCAGAAAGGAAGTCTGTCACTCCGAATCCCATATTCTTTTCACTATGTCTCATGTGCAACTACGTGTGCCTCTTACCAAAATATCTTCAGAATCATGACCATCGCCGACGGACAGTCCATTTAACTGCTGCTGCAACTGTCCCATGGCCTGAGGCAGGTCACGTGAGGGAATGAACCACTCTTGGTCTTCTTCATCCAGCATCTCCTGGAAGCAGCGGTCTAAGAAGTCTTGCTCCTGCAGTTCCTCCTCCACCTAGCAAGCAAAGGCGAGGAGCTCACACTTACTGTTCCGGTGTGACTTGCCCCTTCCAGTTTCCTACCTCTTTCTTTCAGAGATTATTAGCCTGAGGTTCAGAATGATGTTGTCTACTAAGAATTAAGATGCTTCAAATGACTGGCTAGAGAAAATACAAGTTTTAGATTTTTCAACCAAATTCCATCCACAAAAAGACTAAGGAAACAGTCAGTCAGAAGAGCAGAAAGTCTAGGCCTTCACATCTCTTCCAACATCTCTGTGCGACACAGACACGTTCCATCCAGATGGCACTTACAGAAAATCATTTTAAAGCTTGAGATTCTTTTCTCAATCTTGTTCAGAAGCCACACTTCTTAAATTTCTCATTTTGCAAGTACGAAAAAGGCACAGGAATTACAGAACTAGACCACTACCTGGAGAGTGGAGATTAAATCAAAATCAACTCTCAGCTTCTGGCCCTCTTTTCTGGTAATGAGGCCCCTAAAGGAAAAAAATACTTTCAGAACCTAAGAAAGATATAAAGAACACTTTTTGGCAAACCAGCAGAAAATGATGTCATCAATGTAGGTATCCTTCCAAAACAAGGAAAAGTATGAATATTTAAACAGCTCTGTATTTCTTAAAGATTGCCCTAAACTAAAGCACTATGATCTAGGATACTGTACACCTCTTTGCAGACATCATTAACTCTTCCTAAAGAGAAGGGTCCAGGCTGCAGATTAAGTGCGGTTTTAAGAGACCCTCGGCTTCACATCTGGCCATCCCTTTCCTGCAGGCTGGTGGTGGACAGATTCATAGCTCACTAGCACCACCATCAGAGGGAAAGTCAAGTAAAAATAATCACCCAGAGGCACTCAGTTGTTAAGCATCTGCCTTTGGCTCAGGTCACGATCCCAGGGTCCTGGGAGCAAGCCCCGCATCAGGCTCCCTGCTTGTTGGGAAGCCTGCTTCTCCCTCTCCCACTCCCCTTGCTTGTGTTCCCTCTCCTGCTGTGTCTCTCTCTGTCAAAAAAATAAAATAAAATAAAATCTAAATAATAATAATAATCACCCAAACTAGTCCCTACACTTACTCATGAATTCAAAAGTCACCAGTAGCACAAGATGTAAAAATAGCCTTCAACATTACAGTTAGCCACACTGATCTCAAGTAAATTAGATAGTTATGAAGTACTTATAGTAACAACCACCACAAAATATTTCCAAGCCATCAGATTTAACATGACTGCTCAAGATCTGCCTTGCCTCTACCCAAGAACATGACAGTGGGCTTCTCCTTATTAAATCTACCCTGATTCACAGGTACAACCCACAGAAATGGTTACCTGGGCACAGTGATGTGACTGCAAGCATGATCTGTGTGCCAGTCACACAAATTATGACACAGTGGGTTTAAGGGGTTGGGGGAGGAGCGGAATTGCTGGCCACCCTGCTAAACTTGTTTCCTTGTTCCCAGAGCACCAGGCTGTTCAGTTAAAAGCACATTTCCTGTCCCCCATGCTGGCGATGGCTATGGAACTATTCATCATGTAATGTCCTCCTTGATGGATGTGAACACTTGGGCATCACTTGGTTAAAAGGAGATCCCTTCTTTGGCCTTTAGCTCTCCCCCTTTCCCAGTGCCTAGACTTCAACTTACCCTTCAGTTATTCAGATGATCAATGCCTTGGCTGGGGCAGAGCAACACCATCGGAGAACCATGTGGTCACCACATCACTGTCTACCTGGAGTGCCTACCTTGAGCTATTAATGTCACAGAGATGCAGGACAATGGATTACTGCTGATTCTTTGTTTAGATTCTCTAGCCTTTCCCCACCTAACACACTTGTCCATCTCAGACGTACATTCTGCCAGTCCCCACATTGCCACATGGGGAGCATGGCAGGCTGGCCCGTCTGCACACAGCTGCTGTTCCCCAGGTCTATACCATATCAACATGGCATGAGATTCTCTTGCAACAATGTGATGGAAAATACCAGTATCTTCGTCCAAAGTACCCTACTCTGGTGTCTAACCAGATAAAGAGGCTTCTTGGTTAGCATAGACAAGTCCTCCATGCATTCTTAAATTATTCTCAAGCCAACAGACCCATTTCTTTTGTTACAGATGGATGGTAAAATACAGCTGTTGAGATACATGGCGTCTTAACCCTTCACTTCTTTCTTTACCTGTCTGTTGAAATCTTCTTCGTTCTCCATCCACATGTACTCTGCAAATGGGTTTTCCTTCTCATCGTGCCCATTTAATCCCTGATCCTCTTTGGATTTCACATTAGGTGATGTATTTGCTACACTGGATCCATTCATTATGACAGAACCTAAACAGAACCAAAAGGAAGGATCAAGGAAATGAAAACCTGGAACATCCAGATTCTTCCAGAAGCTTATGAAGTTCTAAGTCGAAGTTCTAACTATAGATGAACAGAAACTATTGGTCTGTAACTGTTAGAAAACTAACCATATTCTGCAGTTATCAACTATACAGATGTAGAATTCTTAAGAGTTAAAAGAAAAAAAAATGTCCAGGCTTAGTTAGCCATCCTAGGCAAGTGGGAGGAGGAGATCTTTTCAAGTCCATTTTTTGCAGGTTCTAGAACCTAATCAGGGTCACATGGCCTCCTTAATGGTAAGGAATAGGTAGAGGAAATTAAAAAAAAAAAAAAATTTTTTTTTAAGACTTTATTTGACATAGAGAGACACGGGAAGAGAGAGAGAGAGAGAGAACACAAGCAGGGGGATGGGGGAGGGAGAAGCAGGCTTCCTGCCAAGCAGGGAGCCTGATGTGGGGCTGGATCCCAGGACCCCGGGATCATGACCTGAGCCAGAGGCAGACACTTAACAACTGAGCCACCCAGGTGCCCCAAGGAAATGCATTCTTAATGAACACTGTGAGTGACTGCCCCTTATTCTGATTCTCAAGCTGTTTTTCTATAAAATATATTTCAAAAAATAATACATGTTCATTGTATTGATAAACAAAAAAGAGAAAATTAAGGTTACCAGACTGAATCAACTACTCAGAGTTAAAAACTAATAACAATGTAGTGTATATAACTTTTCTGACTTCCCCTATGTGCATGCAGACACATGGACACACACACACACACACACACACACACACACACACACACATCCCCCCAAGCATCCATCCTTAAGAGTATGGATGCTCTATCATTTGCCTTTTCTCATTTCTGTGTTAATACCACCATACTGTCTTTTGGAGTATTTCCAATGTTTCCATGTCATAAAGAGTAGATGAACTTCTCATGTTCATCTTTTTTAATGTTTTCCTTAGGATACTCCTAGAAACTGAACTGCTATATTGGAAACTATGTTTGCTTTAATTAAGGCTCTTGATTTATTACCACACTGCTATGAGACTTTAAATTCCCACCAGTAGGATATCAGTGCCTATTCCTCCGCACTGAGTATTATTATCTTTTAAATCATTGCCAATCTCCTAAGAGAAAAATTGTCGTATATGGTTTACATTTCCATTTCTGTGATTTTTACCAAGACTGAATATTTTGAGATATACTTACTGGTCATTTGAGTTCTTATCTTGTCATTTTTCCGCTGAAGTATTTTGACCATTTTTCTATCAGGATATGTATCTTTTTTTTATCTGCTATAAGGACTTTTATTATATTTGTTGCAATTTTTATTTTTCATAAAAGAACTTACAAATTAAAAATACTATTATTTGTTTTGTTTGCTTAATTTTCTGATGGCAGTTTCTGCTGGCCTTAATTTCTGTCTATATCTTGTATGAGTGTCTGCCTATCTATTGTCTTTTTACAGTACATATATGCTTTTTAAATTGCTTACACTTGGCTTCCAAATTCACACTGATGTGTTTGCTATCATCTGGAATGTGTCTTTTTTCTGTTCTTGATTTAAATCTTAACCATTCTTCAAAAATCACTGTAGTCTTTATTCACTGCTTTCCTCCTCTATGTTCCTGTACCTGCGAGCTTGGAGTTCATACTACATAACTACTCTGTTTCATAACTCAAAATAATGAAACTCTGCTTCATAATTCAAAATTGCATAATTTTTCTCTTTCCACTTAGATTTTCGACTTGTGAAAAGCAAGATGGAGGTTTATAATCTCAATCTCAATTCCATCTCTTCCTCTCTCCTCCTTGGGGCATCTTTAAGTTTTCTTTAACAATTTTTTTCCTCACTCATTTCCATCTTGGCAACATTCATGAAAAAGTCTTCTTTCTCTGCTTCTGGGTACACTAAAAAATTATTGCTTACTCCCCTTTAAAGTTCTTTCAATTTCCTAACCTGTTATGAACATTAGAAAATCCAATCTTCTTAAAAGACAAGGTGGAAAAAAAAAAAGACAAGGTAGAATTGTGATGAGTGAAGAATTAGATGAAAAACCAACTCATTGATATTTCAAAAAGAATTTCATTTATTGACAAAACCCATTTAATTCACTACTCGTTTAAATAGGGCATACCTATTATAAAACATATTGGTTTAACACATTTTAAATAGAGACAAAAGAAATCAATGATTACTCCAAATACTGCTATATAATAATAATTCTATAAGCCTAAAGAAGGTAGGAAACCAGTTCTTTAATTTTACCACCTCCATTTGCAACATAACGATGACAGAAGCAAGTCTGCTCTAAATGCCAGGGCAACTGCCTGACTAAGTAGGGTATACCTAAGCCCAGAGACTCTTAAAGGACCTGACCCTTGCTGGGTAGCAGGTTAAACAGAATTATATCTCCAAAGATTCATTTGGCAGTTGGTCACAACCAGCACAGCGATTTCTCCCCATCAGTATGGAAATCACCCAGAGAGAACCAGTACTCAGTTTTCTAAAATATCTGCCTTTGCCTGAAAAATAAATCCTAAGTGCACATGTACTCAGTTTTCTAAAATATCTGCCTTTGCCTGAAAAATAAATCCTAAGTGCACATGACCATAGGGAAAAGAGAAGGCAGACAAACAAAGCATAGAATAACCCATCTAATTCCAGAGTTGAGGTGGAGTGCTGAGAGCAAGCCACAGGATGCTGTCGTTCATGAGAAAGAGAATGGAAATATACCATAATCCCAATATGGGGATGTTACCCAATTTAAAGCAAACACTTGGGAGAAGTTGAAAACACTGAGATATGGGACTGTTAATACCAGGAAAGTGGTTCTCAGCAGGCTATATACAATATTGATGTGCAGTTTATACCATTCTACCTGTGTTTTCTACACAATTGGAAAGCTTAGGTTACCCTAAATAGAAGCAATCCAACAACTTAATTTGTATAATGTTTAACAATTTATTTTTTTTTTTAAGATTTTATTTATTTGTCAAAGACACAAAGAGAGTGAGTACAAGCAGGGGAAGGGGCAAGCAGAGGGAGAAGCAGGCTTCTTGCTGAGCAAGGAGCCTGATGTCAGACTCAATCCCAGGACCCTAGGAGCATGACCTGAGCAGAAGGCAGATGCTTAACTAACTGAGCTACCCAGGTGTCCCTAGTACTTTCGTATCTACACTCTGACTTCAGATACGTAATCTGTCCAACTTCATTCTCAACAAAACAAAAACATCAAGCTAGTGCTATATGAAGACCAAATAGGGTACCAGATTCAAGGGTTAAGCAACTTGAGTTGCTGAGTTAGCTCGATAATAACATGGGTTTGTGGGCCCACTGGGTGACAATGCACTGGTGTTTAACGTGCCCCTGAGACTTTAGTAGTGAGGTGGGAATGGGGAGATTTTGCTGGATAGTGGTAACTCCTAAGTAAGACATTTGGGGAATGCCTTCCAACTCAGGGATAACACCAGGTAAGACAGGACCACTGCTCCTAACTTCCCTGAATTTCCCACCTCAAGAGTTTCATGTAACATTCTCTTCCTGTTCCCAGCTCCTCTCTAGGTTCACCACCCACTACACCTGCCCTCTAAGTACGCAGCATTTTCCTAACTATCCTATTTTGACCTTTGATGTTCATTATTTCACTTGATCTTCACCCACATCAAAGTATATTATGTGTCATCCTAGTGTAGTGGAGCCAAAGAAAATACCCTCAAAGCTTCCAGAGATGGGGGAAATGCCTGGGTACATAAGTAGGATCACAAATCAGAATGGCTGCCATGTTGTCAGCTATGTTATGGAGAGGCCCACGTGACAAGGAATTGAATCCCGTTAACAACCATGTGAGTGAGCTTAGTTCATCTTTCCCCAGTCAAGGCTTCAGATGAGACAGCCATCCCAAGTAACAACCTGACTGGAACTTCGTAAGAAGCTCTGAGGTAGAAGCATACCCAGCTAAGCTGCTCCCAGATTCCTGACCCACAAAAACTGTGAGAGAATAAATGTTTGCTGTTTTAACCTGCTAAGCTTTGCAGTAAGTTGTCACATGGCAATAAACACAGGCATTCGATAAACAATGACAACTAGTTCCACCATATGAACCATCAGTTGTCACTTCTTTCCTCTTATCTATCTAGAGAACAGGTGTGCAGTTTGAAGTAGGTCATGGCTTGAGAAGTTCCTCAAGAATTAAACATCAACAACAGATGAAAGATTTTACATCTGGTGTCCCTCTTATTACATTATGAAATCTGATAACTATTTGAAATTTATTCCCCCCTCTACCTGTTTCTCTCTTACTTGGCAAACATCCTGAAAATGAAAAATAAGACTTGTCATTTGGATTAAGATGGGAAAGGATGTAGCTGACAGAGAGTCAAAATAGGGGTCCTAAAGCCTGCTAGGCATTTATTTGATTTAGTACTTTACGGGGATCAAGGGCTCCTGTCTAAAATATTGGGCTTGAAATAGAGGCCTCAGTTCCCAACTATAAAGAACTTTGGGACTTTTAATGTGCCTAGGACATCTAAATACATGCTTCATCCGTTTAACACTTTGAATACCCACAGCTCTTAAATCCAATGTGCTCATACTAGAAACTAGCTATTCTTTGAAGTTGAGATTTTTTTCAGAAGGCATAAACCTGGATTGTGCCTATGATAACAGCTTGACTCTGAAAAATACTTGGTACTTTTGGCTGAATTATCTGGAAAAAGTCTATTGAGCAACTGCTATAAAAACTAGTCTCTACTATTCTGTTTACTACAGTTTTGTGAACTTTGTTCAGTCTGGTTAATACCATTTTTAAATTAAATATTGTGAATAACAGTTTAAAATGTTATTTTAGTTTAAATATGTGGTACTAGATTCCGGTTTGGTCCATTCTCAGTTACATCTTAGCAACTCAGGTCATTAGACGCACTTATTCATTAATATCAGGTGCCTATTTACCCTAGACATTGTGCTTGACTGGTGCTTTGAC